AATATATAAAATAAGTAAATAAAATACATTTACAATTGAGATTTCGATCAAATTTTTATTAAAGTTTACTATTAAGATCTTCCTTTTAAGTATGAATTACAGTAGCACTTAAATATAAAATATACATTACTGGATCCATTTCAACAAATTTTCGACAACTTGTCAGGAGTTAGCTGGCAATATCACGGCTATAACATTATGTGTATATTTTTTCCAAACTGCCAAGAATTTCAGAATAGTGCGGATTATCCGCATGAAGTCGATGCTTTGCGTAACCCAACAAAAGACCAGTAGTCATAAGTTATTAGTAGTCATTAGTGATATTAGTGGCCAATTTACATCCCCATACCCTTAAATTACACGTTTGGAAAATGTATTACGCAACTAAGTAAAAATGTCATATTATATGGCTTTTGGCATGCTTCAATTAAAACCATATGTGTTCCTTATTAATATCTTTAATATGACTTGATAGTGACGGTTTGTGTAACACCTTTATCATTAGCAAAAAACTGCATCGTCGGACAAAATGTCACTCCATTTAGTTACTGTTTGTGGATAATGTGATCATTCTAAAAAACTTGTACAATAGACTAATTTCTATGACAATTTCATAGGTTGAGATATGATCCTCAGCAATGCAGAAGATTTTTTATGGATGCCCATTAAAAGTTTTCACATTTTTAATACGTTCAACGATTGTTATACGAACTATGACAAATCTTAAACTGAACATATGACGCTTTGAGTAAGAGATCTGTTTGATATGTCACTGAACTAGTGTTACGAAATAAAGAAAATAAAATGGATAGATACCTTTAGGTCCATGATTGATCGAATTGTAATTTTGTACATGATTTATATTCTATATTTCGAATCATTACTTTATATAGTTCATGTATTTCATCCAATGTGATTGATTTAAGAAGTTTTGTATTGTAATTTCTACCGATTGAATATTTCTTCTCTGTATAAGAACATATTTTATACATTTTGATTGTTTAATTGAAATTATATTATTTTAATAGCAAAATGGCGAAGGTTCCTCTAAGTAAAATTATTAAAAATGAACATATTTTAAAATCAAACTGGTGCATTTGGTTTTTCTTCATACAGTTTGTATTTTAATTTCTTTATGAGAATTTTATATGAGTTTCTGAATTGATATTTTCCCACATTTCGACAAATGTGGAGATAAATTAGACTAATGCAGTGAAAACGAATTTATTGTGAGGAACTTGAAGGCCTCTTGTAACAAACCAAAAACACAAGTGCCCCAATAATGTTGGTTCAACTAATGTGGCACCACAACAGCAGCGGGAGTGGTACCGATGGTGAAATGCAACATATCGCCTGCTTAAAACGCAGTGCATCTGGTAAATTTGTAACACTTTGCCATACACACAATCCACCGAGCAGTGCATAAAATTTTTGTTGACAATAATGACGTCCAAGCCGATGGCATCACCGTATCCACTCCGCTGTGCACCACATTAGGCGACACATTATTAACTGCGCTTGAGGGTTTGTTGCTGTAGTCGCATGTGTGAAGGCAGAGCTGCACACTTTAAACAAAAGAAGCAATTTTAATTGCCTTGAAGAGTGTTAAAGAGTTTATGCGCAACATTTGTGGCGCTACACATGAAAGGGCAGTTGGGGAAGAAGTAATACGTAACACTCACAATTAAAAACGCTATAAAATACTTTTCCAACAAAAGTCATAAATTGAAAACGACCAATCGGCAATGAGGCCACGATGGTTGTTCTTTGCGATTATAAAGCAGGCGGCAACGCTGACGTCGAATTTGACGTTGACGTCGGTTCTGTGGTAGTGTGCGACAAATGCAAGACTGCGCTGCAGAGCTTCGTGTGAATAAATATGTAAATTGATCAACAACATAAGAGCTTCAAATTTTCTTATAGGTTTACGGTCAGTGGGAAGGGGGAGGGTGCTCCAAATTAACAGACCATATCTAAACCTTAAACTCACCAGATGTTGGTGGTTTTTATGCCTGTGTTTATTATTCCATTATGCTGCTGTTTGTGTTGTTGTTCTTTCTTGCGTTTGTTGTTTCTGTTTTTGAGGTGACATCATTTTCTATACCAAATTCTACGAGTGTCATCTTAGTGTTTCACATGCAGGACCATGAGAAAGAAATTTTAAATAAAACCATACTGAAGAAAATTTTATATTTAGATATAGGGTGGAGTTACTTCATTGCATAAGTTTTGCGAAACAGACTTTGGATAGGTGTTGAATTCAGAACCTGGCTACTACGACAGTAATTTTCAGTATTTCAAAGCTTGCAGTATTTTAAATTTGTTAAAAACTGTCCATATTCCGCAGAAGTAGATTATAAATCTTTGATACTTTTATTCATTTGTTCGGTAAGATATTCATTTAGTAATTGTAGTCTAGTAGTATATTAAACTGTAATCGAAAGACTTCTATCATGAAATCGTTAACAGTAATATGAACGATGTTGACATGAAGATTAATAGAAAATTTAAGATAGCCATAGGTGCTACTAAGCAGGCGTTTGAAATGAAGAGCTTCCGACCGTTGAAATTTGTTGTAATAGGTTGTTCATCCTACTTGTACTTCTGTATGTAGCCGACGAATGAACGTTATCATATAGAATGATAAAGTATTGGGTATTTTGAGTGATTGAACAATAAAATTGACTACATATACTAATGAAATATGAGATGCATGTTCGAAAAATATGTTTCTTCTTCAGTTGGAGGAAGAAAACGTAAGGGAAGAAGGTGTATCCAGTTGAGTGATCAAATTGATGTATAAAACTAGAAAAGGAGCACACTTCATATCTAAACTCGGAGTTGGAAAGTTAGAGAAACTTAAGTATCTGAACAGATTCTTTTGATTCAGTGACACCTAAATACTTGATACCTAAATACTTTAATTGATCAGAAACTTGTTTACCAGAAAATATGTCTTTAGTAGTATAAAAATCTTTTTACTATGTTACGCACATAGGACACACATTCTATATGAGTTTCACGGGCAACTTATCAACAAGGAAACTTTACATAATAAACTTCTATGTTTGGGAAGAGACCGCAATCGGATCTCCTATATTCCAATTTTCATGGCCAAGTTTATTGGCTGCAAGGATAACATTTATCCATTTTGTTGGTTAACTAATTGTTACCAATTTAATAAGAATTCGCGTAATATTTAAAACTTTTCATCATTCTTAAAAGAAAAATTTCCTAGCATTTGCACTTGAGTTCTTTTTCACTTTGGAGCAGCCACTACAGCGTCATATCCAAGTAATCCTTGTCTAAATGCCACACCCTTTTTGTTTTTCTGACAAAAGTAGCCAATTCAGAGCAGTATTTGCTTTCTCACTTCTTTGATTAATAACTGTTGTAAAATTGAAAATTTTTCCAAAATTAAGGAAAAAGTAAAAAAATTAAAACGTACAAATTGAAAGTAATTTGTACAAAACGTAGGAAAAATTTTTAAAAAAGGAATAACAAGAATCTTGAGGAATTCTATTTAAGCTCAGAATGGCTCCGTTTATATGGGCGGTCACCTTTTTTTAACTTCTTGCCTGTGCCTGAAGATGTTGGAGTGGGCCAGGACAGCAAGACTCAAAGAAGTGAAAATAGACGCTGCAATAGAAAACGAAAAAAATCCGAAGAAAAAGGAATTCATTTTCCACCTAATTGCTTTGCTGTGATTAGTAATATTAAACTTTTTGGGGTTTGCTATTTGATTTCTAACAGTTTTTCTTTGTATTTAATTTCTTTCACAGCCAAGTTACTAAGCTGAACATTAATTCTTGTATGAATTCTGCTTTTTTTGCTTTTAATTTTTCATTTTTCGCTACGTTTTTCATGGGAAATTTTATAAATATTTTTTCGGGCTGAAAAAGTAGCAAAACTTATGCAATTACAAGGATTGATTACGTATGGAAATGTTAAAAAAACGATTTTGAAAAAGTTTTAAGGCAAGAACAGTATACAGAGGTGTCACTTTTTTATAAGGGTGAGAAGAGGACTGAAAAAAACTGATGGAATATACAAAACATTGTTGATAGAAAAAATGGATTTCAACACTTGAGTAAATATTTTCTAAAGTCAACTAATTTTACTACTCCACAGATTTTACACCCCTCGCAATGTTGTTAGTCATAAGATCTTTATTAATCACTCATCAACTGAAAGGACACTCGCATCATTACATTTGGTGTCCTGTCTTCAATATTTTAACATGCATCTTGAGTTGTTGGTTTACAAGTTTTGGGAAAATTTTACCGAAAATGGAAAATGCTCGAATGGCGCGTGTTTCAAAAATTAATATTAATTTGTTATGTCAACCTCGAAGTGCCATCCTCTTCCTTTTTCTTTTTTCAAGTGATAATTTCGTTTTTTTCACACTAAAAAATTAAATATATTCGTGCTCTGAAACAAAACTTGTACCACAGGCAGTTGTTTTTCTTATTTATTGTATATTTATATAAATATCTTTTTTAAATTTATTTAAAAAATTCGTAAAAATGAAGTGCTTATGTATTTTCATTAAACTATTTATTATTTAGGAGGATGAATCATTTTATTTTATGACGGCACGTGCGTGTAGTGAATCTTTTTGCATATCTCCAGAGGTAGAGACTATTTTCCAGAAGAGTTGCTAACATATTCTGAAATTTACTAGGCTGTTAGTTAGAAACATTATTATCATATGTAGTGAGTTACGTACCCACCACTAGTCTTAATGTATTAATTTACAAAGGTTATAGTATTTCCTTATGTACTCATTATCTCACTAAACTTACTACTAAGTGGAGATGATGATCTTATTGTGTTTAAAAAAATTACTGCCCAGTAAACATTTGTAAAGTTCTATTTCTTGGTTGTTGGTTGTTTATTCGCAAATTACTTTGTTAGTTTAAAAACACATCCAATAAAGTGAAATATGAGAAGTTTTCGTGCTATTTACATGGTGCTTAGGAAGCAAGAGTTTGTAAAACTGTTTATGGTAGTATACCTCTCAAGAATCAGTATGCTGTGAGAAATAAATTTAAATATTTTCGTCTTAAATTTTTTACAAAAAATTGGCCAATTTAAATTTAGTACGTAATCTGAAGGTTTATCCATTTCGAGGTTCAAATTTAGCAGCAGTACTTTGCAAGTCTCAGTTCTTCTAAGTCAATAAACTTTTATTCTTGAGTTCTTTCAGCTTGTAATTGAAACAGTAGGAATTAAAACTATTTTAATGCAGCTCAAATATTATTTAACAACATTCCGGCTAAGTATATCCCAAATTTGTGGTATCGTCGAGTCAATCTATATGTTGAACCAATGGAATAAAATAATAACTTCTGTTTATAAATATTTTTAATATTATTGATTTATTGTAAAAAATACGCTAGAACCAAACTTAAATAATGAAAAATATTACTTAATTTTGAATTCCTGCCGATACACGTATAACAATAATCATTTCGAAACGATGCTCAAAATAGTTAAGGGTGAGTTTTTTGCCAAACGTTGCAGTTTGTTTACATTTTTAAGGTTAATATTATTTCATTAATATCCTTTTAGTCAAACAAAAGCAGTGTAAATACATTGCATGTGTATGGAAAAGGATGCGCGTTTCAAGTGGCTGCAAATGGAGAATGCGATTGACGCTGCTTACGGCAACGCCCAGCACAGGAGAAGGAATCATTTACACTCAAGTGTGGCACAGGATATTAGAAATTTACATCAACAATGTAAACACTTATGGTTGACGGTGCTGATGTGGATTTTAAGCACTTTTTAGCGTTTTTCTCCTTGTCGCTTTGAGGAACATGAGTTTGTCATGATGAAGAGCAACGCGTAAGGGTGTCAGTTGCAGTAGAAAAACCATTTAAAATAACACCAACCAAAGAACAAGAGGCAATAGACGACGGTGACAGTCACAAGTACATTTATAATTCCGACCTGTTTAATTATGCCGAATATGACGCGTGTTGGGCTTGTCGCAAGTCCCAATCAACACTACTATTGCTGCTTTCGAACTTCGAATTTGTTTCCCATCCGCTTCCCGTAGAGTTTGATGCATTTCGTATCATTTTTTTGCTGCCGCTCTTACAAGTAAGTAATAGAATAATGTGCCATTAATGTGCTATTTAATAATTAATTTAAGTATGCAATCAACAGTGTAACCTAGAACCCACCTCTCCCTTCTGCAGTGGTAGAGTCGCGATTATTGTGGGAAAATGTGTTTTCCTGCATCACAAAATCATTTCACTTGCTACTGGCTGCCCTGAAAAACATAATTTTTCACAATTGGCCGACAGTTTTTAAAACTTACCAAATTTTGATAATAAATTAAATTTTTTACAATTCCCAAACGTGTTCGTGACTCTTTTGACATTTAAGTGCCGTTCCCACTTAAATTGCGTTTGTCAAGTGGCCGCCTATGAGGTTTGCGATCGTTGGTTATACATTGTATTTTGTATTGCAGTTTCACATTCGGAATTCATTCATAATTGTTTCGTTCTTCCTCGCCAATGTCTCGAAACTATCAAAACATCCGTTGACTTGGTTTTACGTTTTGGACTCTGTCACTGAACTTTTCCGCTAGCCAAATTCATTCATTGTTGCGCATTTCAAATTCTGAATTCACGTCCGCAAATGCGGCTAAAATTAATTGGTAACATTTCATGTGCTTTTGGTTTAATTAATAGTTTGAAATTATTTTTGTAATTTTGTTAATTTTTTATCTTCAATATGTCAAACTAAGTGCTGAAATAATAATTGTTGCTGTTCTGCCTCTGGCTTTGTTGCTATTCTGTTACTTCTGTAATTAATTTTTATGTGCCTTTTAGTCGTTGAAATGCAGCAATCGCCTCTTTCCGTAGGTGCTAATTTCGTCACCACCCATTTAACGTAATGCTACGATTAAAGTAATGCACAGTTTTTGGATGCGTTTAACGAATTCAGTTCAAATAAATCAATCATTTGAGAGAATTCGAGCTCTTAAAAGCTTCAGAATAGTTTTAAGTGTTTTATTGTAATCATTTGTAGCTGAAATTACGTTAAAATCAATTAAATTTAAATCAAAATTTCAATTTTTTGTACCACCCACACCTTTCTAAAGATGATTATGTGCAAAGGATTCAATTATTTTGAAAAAATTATTACCCAATATCCGAAAGTGATGTGGACCACTGTTAGAACAATAAATACACTTGCTCTGCTATGGAATTCTTGTTAAAGGTTCACTTAAATTACTCTTGACATTTATGAAGGAAATAAAAAATTTTACGATATTTCATTTTAAGATATTTTACAACTCCGCCATTAAGAACTAACAAAGCACTATTACATTTTTGCTCACCCCTTCTACCATATGTGGAAACTCTAACGGTTGACCCATTCTAGTACGCCGTAAATGATAATGTCTACATTCAATTCAATTCATAATAAACTCTTTTCGAAACGACATCGTTTAGTTAGTTTGATTGATTTTGAATTAGGAGCAAAACCTCCAAACAAATTTCTAAAACAGAACGTTCAGTTTACCCAGCGGCGTGAGGGAGCGGAACGTTATTGTAAGACGAAAATGTAGTTTTTCACATTTTGTATGCGAAAGTACTTGAAAGCGTATTAATGGTAATACAGTGCCAATGCGTATGAATTTCTAATTAATTGACTTCGGGTTTTATGGCTTCATTAATTACCGCAAATTGAAGAAACGTCTTGAGAGCTTGTGTTTTAGTGTCAGGATGCAGCTGATGAGTTATCAGGCAGTCTACTTGGACAAAGTAGTAAAGAGTTTCAACGTCATTGCTTTCAGGTCGTAAAATAAAAAGTAAAAACTATGAATTATGCATCAGAAAGTCGTAAAAAAATTATATGTTCTAGTCTTACCATATAACCCGCTTCCCTTTATACTGTAAAAACGTAAAAAACCCATTAAAATTTATTAGCCAATATTTACATATGCATTACAAAATCAAATAATTTGTAGCATATTTATTAACAAAAGCCCTACCATCGGCTCTATTGACCTGATAGCAAAAAAAGAACAAAATGACGAGTAGTTTTTGAGACACTAATGAGACACTATAATTTAAGATTAAATAACGTGATTACTTGGATATTATTTTTTTAATAATATTTAGATTTATTCCATTTATTAAAGTGTTAAGTTAGTATTATCTAATAAAAAAGGTGTTTCCCACAGTCTTATACTAATTGACCAACACATTTAGCAAGGGAACATTGGAAAATGTGGAATGAAAGCAGGACGCGCAGGAAAGTAGAAAAGTTGTTGGATCTATAAAGCTGAAGGATAATATATAAATAGCGAAATCATTATAAGATTTCTCAAATCACAAAACAACGTTATTAACAGTTAGGAAATGAGAAAAGAAATTTGTTGAAAATAGGGTATCTGCAGAAATAATGAATACTCCGGATGGGAAACTGAAGAAACGTATTTGAAAATTATGAAACGATCTTGAGAAGAAAACTTTGATAGTAATGGCAATCATGGTGTAGAAGTTATTCTATTAAAAATTGAACTCTTGAGATTTTTAAATACTATGTATAAATAATGCTGTGCCTCATACCAAATTACTGATATGAAGATCGTAAATATATAAGAATCAATCAATTACTTTACTTATATGTGAAATGTGAATGAACAAGAGTAAAATAAACCTCAGCCAAGGTAAGACAGCTGAGTAGTGGATACAGAATTAAATAAAGTCATAAAACTACTAGAATAATTATTTTTTGGCGTAAATGTTCTGCTTCTTTAAATCCGAAATTGTGATATTGTGGTTTGTTGATCTGAGTTTTTTGTTTTCAAAGATAATTGACCTGATTGACTAATTATTGTTTAGGTAAGACGGCTATTTTGAATTATGTTAGATGATGCTTTGCCTATGAATTCACGACAGTCTGTTCAAATAAAAACTCAAGTATGTGGGTACGTTTATTGGTTGAGGACGAATAAATTATTTAAGAAAATACAATGTTTGTTGTGGGCACATGTCGACTATAGCATTTAGGCGAATCTCATTAAATTATTTAGCGATGCGTTTTCGCAACACTTGAAAATAATCAAATTTAATGTGAGGTTAGAGTAGGTATTGAATATTTGGGAACTGTTTCGCAGTAAACATTTTTGCGTCATAATTGATTATTTATAACAGTTTTCGGTTTAAACATATATATGATTAAACAATTAATATATTTGCGAATTGGTTAATAATGAACATGAATTATTTTCACGTTATTTCCTTCTTGTAAAACTTTCAACAAATTAATATACCTAAAATATCTCCTTTTTCTTTTTTAGTACAATATTTTAAACAGAGATCGTCAAAAGCCATTCAGATGACGAACCTAAATTGATTGGTCTCACTTTATTCGATACAGATTTCTCATACATTTGTGGCACTATATTTATAATTGAATTAGTTATTCGTGGCATGATACCTAGTACATAAGGACAGTATCCGATAAGAATGGGTGATATGGTAACTTTTTGATATATAAATTTACTCATTCGAAATCTATTAGTTGTTACCATTTATAATAGCTTGACCATGGTACGGTATATTTAGTACGGTACGAAGTTCAGTAAAGGTAGGTAAAAATTAATATAGATACTAAGATTTTCTTAATTACATAAAAAACGAAAAGATTGAAAGTTTCTCGGCTGTTTCTATTATCGGGGGTCGAAAGTATCGTCTACCAATTATATATATTGATAAGCAAAGAAGCTCATTCTTGCTAACGAGTTAATTCGATTCGCGTCGTCCTGCGACTAAAAATATATATGGTTTTCAATACAATCTGGCTTAATAAAATGGCGGTTCTTAATAAGAAAACTCTGTCATTTGTTTATTTCCTGAAAGGTTGAAAATGAAATATCTTCATTGCAGTATCATTTCGAAGATCTGATAAAATAGCATAAACCCAGCATGCAAATGAGTTGTCTTTGGTCTTCCTCAATGATTTTATTATTATGGATATAACGAAAATGTTTGAAATACGTGTTTATATTTTTTAAAAAGGAACTTATTTCTTTGGATTTGATTTCAATGTTGTAGTAATTATTTATGTTTCAAACGTGTTTACTTTTACTTCACTTTATTTTTTAATTTTTTATGTTTGTTCTTTTTTAAAATAGAGAAAAATTTCGCAATTACAATCTGTTATCATTTAAGAGTTAAGAATTATGTGTCTGTACATAGACGCAAGATACATAAAGCCTATTTGATTTAGACTCACGACGCATTAACGCAAAGTGATCGGTGTGCCAACGCATATCAATCTTATAGATGCATAGATATATGGATAGGTAGATACGCGCTGCATACATGTAAGTACGATCTTAAACATATGTAGCAATTTTTTAAAGCTATTGCCGCCAGTTTGCTTAATTTATAAATTGGCTTAAATCCAAAATGCACGCACAGGGAAAAGTTGCACTATTAACACTTCTGAGTTTGATTTAATCGCCGCGTGATTTGTGCGCATTTAAGTGCTCGATGTGCGTGCTTTTTGCACTAATTACAACACTTAAATTCACAAAAATATGGAATAATTATCTGTGTAAAAATTTATTCTCGTCTACTTAAATGATTAAGATTCTAATTTAATCATTCCAAGAGGCAAAATAGTTGCTGTGAATTTCAAAGTAGTGCAACAAGGCACAGTCATTTACAACGGATTTATTTTCGTGTTCATAAAGAGATAACGATATGGACAAGAAAATCCCTCATCGAATTTTTGACAGCAAAGGTGCGTGATGGACATCTTACAAGGTTCGTTAAGTCATCGAAAAAGGTTTCTTTTGCGTATAGAAGAGTTCCAATTTTAAATATTATTTTGGCACTTTTCCCTTGACAAAGTCATAAAGTCTTATTCGCAAGAGTTTTTTATTATTTTTTAGTTTATTTGATTAGGTTAGCTTACTTTTGTAGTTTCTGATTATTTCTGCTTTGACTTCTGTTGATACAATATCTGCCACTAATCACTTTGCCTCAATTATTTTAGGTAATTTAAATTATCGCTAACTTACCCAGAATGATATCGTAATCTCTGCAAAATAATTTTAATATAAGTGGGTGTTTAATAAACGTAAAAGATATTAACGATCTAACATTCTTGTCTTATATTCTAATACGACATTTAGAATTTCATTAATTTTATTAATAGATTAAGTAATGTGTCTGGTCGTTATATAATTTATAGGAGTCAACAAGTTAATAAAGACAGATCCTAGTTGACCTTGTTATTATATATTATATAGTATAATTATCAAGAAATAATGTGTCGTAACACTCATTACAAAATGAAATGGTAATATGTCTTTATGTATGCTTATGAGTGGCGTATGCAAAGGTCGGTTTTGGGTTCAAACTCTTCTTAAAAATTTTCAGACCATATTGCCCTAGATATATTGTTTTTTTATAAATAAATGGTTTTGTACCGACTCCTGAATCACAGTTTTTGACTGTTTTAATCAAAAATGGCTCGCTATTATTTAAATTATTACTATTATAAGTTACTCAAATTATTTTAATTTTAAAATTAAAATAAGATGTGAAAAAAGTACAAGACAATTTTTCAGATTTAAAATACATTTGCAGAACTACCGAGTATAGTTGACTTTTCGAGATTCTGAAGTGCTTTTGGTTAGTCAATTAAAATAAATATCTGCTTGTTTACAAATTGTAGAGGCATGCTGTCTATTTGGTGCAAACGGTAGTCTTCATTACTAGAACCATGGTGCCAAATCTATTTTTGCACTTCGTAAAGGTGCGAAAATATTGAACATGAAACGAATTTTTTTCACTGATACGGTTTAGTCCGATGGCGTCAACATTATTTCTTAAATATCAGCACATAAAGTGCAATCACAAATTAGCAGAACAACGCATTTTACACGAATAATTGAGAAAGTGGCAGTCAAGAGCACGGAAAGCGATCTAGTCTGCAGAACGGGCGCTTAGTCCATCAACTGTTGTACTCGTGACATGTGGCTGCGGGAAAGGTGAGTGTAGTGCGCTTTAGATTTGCACCGTTAGCGTTAGAGTGTAATAAAGTGCGCCAAAGAAGATTAAAAATTTTGGGTCTGTGCCCAATGCAGTTCGGGCGTCACTCTGCTTCGGTAGCTGCAATGAATTGAAGAAAACTTATAGCTGCCTCTTAAACTCATGGCTCATATATTCAATTATCTTTTGAAAGGCAAATTACAAATTATTGCTGATTAACAAAAACACAAGCTCGATTTATTTTCTTTTGGATGCAAACAAATCGTATTCCAAAGTGTTTCAAAAGTGTTTCAAAACTTGATTAACTTAGTTCACTCGATATGCAAAACTATCCACTAAGTTCTTGGTTGATGTTTAGTTGGTTCTTGGCAGCGTTCCACATTCGAAAATCTTTTGTTTAGATTTTTTGCTAACCGCAATTGTAGCTGCGCCGCAATTATTTCAGGGTTTTCTCGATTGGAATTATTTATGCACTCAAAAACAATTAAATATTCTTTATGTAATAAATTAAATATTCTTTATGTAATAACAAAAATTAAAATTTTTGTAATTTTAGGTTTTAAATTAATGTGCAGAAGTTTTGGATGTTTCGTACTAAGACCGGCGGTCGTGGATGTTACCGTATAACTCAATTGAAATAAAGTTGCAATATAAAAGTTAATAAAATTACAAGTAAAATAAATCGATAGGACAGCTGAATATCAGAAGATATACGCACTGGATTTAATTTTGTTGCTATTCTGGTTTATGACAGAATTGTTTTGGATTGTTCTGACATCTTAAAGTTAGCAGAGAACTTTAACTTAACTCCACGTTATGATCATTTAAAGAAATATATCATCTGAGTTATACTTTGTTTGGTATAGGGAACTACTTAAGAAGATAGGTTTCATGACTTCAGTCTCTTAGATAGTTTCTTTTTAATCCCCCTCATTCCTGTAATATTTAACAGTTTAGTTTAATACTTGAGTTTTACTCAACATATCAATATTAGATTTTTCTTTAATTTTCATTTCTATATAACATCTCTAATATGGTAATTATTCATGTTGTATAATTCTTTCACGATGTCAAACACCTAACATATGTACTTATACAAGTTTATAAGACATTGTGGCAGAACAATTTATAAGTTTCAATCTTGTCTATTTCTTATGTTTTATATTGAAAGACATAGACGAGGTAAAATAAATAGAAAATCTTAAATAAATAATAAAGTCTATTATTTTTTGGTTGAAAGTGTTTCATGCGCACATATGTCTTCAGCACGTTCAATACCGCAATAAAATTTCATATTTTATGTCTCGAAACACTTAAGATGAAACTTATGTAAATCGATTTAAATAAGGTGGCACAAATCTAATGGTCAATAAATATAAAAATTTTATAAACTCTTGAAAAACGTATCAGGCAACATGAAGACGAAGACCGAATTAAAATTCGAACGTATTGGATTCCATGTTGAGTGAACACTTCCCCAAGGTGCAGACATCGATTGGCTCAAAGGTTTCTGTACATGTATAATTTTAATGCTCACACGTTCACTGCAGTTCATGTAGCAATGATTGCGGTGTGTAGCGCTGCGCTGGTGTTGATGGGGCACCGCTGTAGCCGTCGTTGCCGCTGCTCCTTTTTAACAAGCTCCCCAGAGTCAAATAAAATAAAAAGTAACGCAGTATTTGCTTACGTGATGCGTGCTGGCATGTGCCACTTCATCAACTCGAACTGCTGGTGAACGTATAAATTCCTTGGAAATCAGTGCCAATGGTATCCTTTTCCGATTAGGATTACTTTAACGTTGAATTTTATTTCAATATAATAAACTCAGGGACGCACACCGATTGCGGTTTGTTTGCTCTGCGTGAGGTGGTTTCGAGGAATATCGGTTCCTTTTTAAGTTGATGATGATTCATTTTCGCATTAAAGATGTTTTAAATAAGATTTTATATTGCAACATTTCTACGTGTTTTAATTAAATTCTATACACATAACAAAAATTTATGAAACCAACCCAACTTATGCATAATTAATCAATGTCCTAGCCATTGATCTTCATTACTATATATTCATATTATATAGAAAATTTCTAACAAATCGTGTACATTTAATTATGAGATGTAAAAAGTAACTGTGACATTAAATTAATAATTATAAAAAAATCAAAAAAAAAGAATTTTTGCCTACATTTTCGGTATAATTGATTTAAAATTAAATAAAAACTCCGAATCCAAAGAGTGCTTAAACTGTCAATGGTCCTTGAATCATCAGAATGATTGAAATTGCATCCTTGAAATGCACATAACCGTGCGGACGAGTGCCAGTTGCAATGCTGCAATTATCACGATTTGCGCACAATCAAATCATATTGCAGCGCAAAATTCCAGGTTTTTTTCTATGAAAAATGTCAATTAAAATATTTCTTTAATGCATCACCATCAGTGGAATGTGGTACTTAGTTAAAATGGCCACTGCCAACTTCACGTTTCATGTGGTTTATGACAAATACTTGTATTCTAAAGCCCATGCTTTTAAAAGTTCACTTGAGTTTCTTCACATATTCTTAGATATTTAAAGGTAATAGTTTCGGTATCCCGTACTGAGATGCGTGCAAAACTACACATCTGCAAAGTATCACCTAAAGTTTGTTAGTGTGTTGTTAGTAATAGAAAACTGTCATTGAATTGAGCATATGAAAACAATAATACTGCAGATTTGTATGCGAATGAATTTTTATAATGTAATGTGTCTTGTTGATGACGCCTCTAAGACAGAAAAATATTCTTCTGTCTACACAAAATTAATCAAAATGTTGTGATAATTGTGCTTTAGTGGAAAATATATCAATTTTTCTCTCCATCATTTGTTCAGTACTTTTTCTGCAATTGGCGTACTCTCAGATAGGTGGCAGTGTCTGCAGTGGGTATGCTCAGTAGAGCCAGTCATTTATAAACTGTTGGTTGGTGAGTGCTTAAAAGCGAACATATTGC